TGATATTCTTGTGAAGTAAATTCCTAACTATCCTTCATTGCTATTTCATTTCATCACAAATCTTATACTCTGTTTTTCTGCAAGTTCTTTGCTTTAATTGCTTTGGTTTATTGCTGTTATATGTTACAAATCTCATTCCAAAATTCGTATGGCTCAAATGGTTATTTTTCTGTGAAGTGATAATTGAGTTCCTAATTCCCTGTGGAGACAATACTCGGATCTTAAATTTACTCATTACTTGCTGCAATCCTAGTGCACTTGCTAGTGTTTAGAATGCAAACAACCCCTCGACATTGAAACTAGGTGGAATTCCACTTATAAGATGTTGGATGCAGCCTTGAAATATCAAAAGGTATTTGGTTTGCTTGAGCTACAAGACAAAAAATATGTTAAAGAACTAGATAAAATAATGGGTACTCCTATTGAAGTCGATTGGAAATATGCTAGTTCAATTCTTCCATTTTTGAAGAATTTTATGATTGTACAATGCGTATTTCTGGTACCTCTTATGTTACAAGCAATTTTTATATGAACGAGGTATTTACTGTTAGAAGAAAAATTGGTGCATATTGTGAACACAATTATGTGAGTATAAGGGTTATGGCAAGTAGGATGAAGAACAAATATGACAAGTATTAGGGAAATCCTGATGAACTAAATTTGTTGTTGTTGATTGCTCTTGTTCTTGATCCTAAGCACAAGTTGGCAAATGTGGATTAGTTCATAGATTACTTTTTTAATGAAGACAAGAAAAATAAATTGAAAATTTGGTTGTCCTCTTGTTTGAAATCACTTTATGACCAATATTCTGGTACTGAGGACGATTCTCAAAGTACACAGCCAGATACACAATCGGGTGTAGAAGAGTATAATTACTATTATGTTGATTTATTTTTCAAGCAAACTGGGCACAAGTTTGATGCTAAGTCTAAGTTGGATAGATACTTAAAGGAAGATTATGAATCATATAATAAGTTACAAGAATTAGATGTTCTGACATGGTGGAAAGTTAACTCAAGTCGGTTCCCTATCCTTGCTAGTATAGCACAAGAGGTGTTGGCTATACCTATCTCTACTGTAGCATTTTAGTCTACATTTAGTACAGGAGGACGAGTGCTTGATCCTTTTCGTAGTTCCCTTCTTCCTAATATGGTGCAGGTACTTGTTTGTACCCAAGATTGGTTAAAAGGATCGTCTTTTTCATTATTTTCTAAAGATGATTTTGAGCAAGTTGAGAGATTTGAGCAAGGTAACTTAACAATGATGTTTTACATATTTTTTGTAATGGTTGTGTTTTAGGAAAGTAATAAGTAAATGACATATTTTTTTGTTTGTTTACAGAGGTTGTTTCTCAACATGGTGTCCATATTCAACAACTATTGTCTTGATGATTGTAGGAGTTTATGTTTAGGACCATTATGTGTTGAGTCTATATAGACAATTTTGGTTTAGACTTTTGCATAATGTGAACTCAGAAATTTTGTGGTGTATGTTTCTCAACATGTACTTTTCTTTTATTGAATTTTAAATTTTTGTGACATATGTGAATTGGTTGGCCGCTAGTATGGTGCCTTGTCTACACATTTGTTGTTTCTTGTTTCCCTCTCCAATTTTTTACTGCAACAAATTTTTATGCAGGCATATGTTAGAATGCAATTAATGGCCACAAGCTTCAAAATGGACTCGGTTTTATCCAGATGGTGAAGCTACCTTGGTTGGCTTGGCCGGCGATTCGATGTATCATAAGTTCATTGTTGTTTTAGCGGGTTGCCATTGCACTTTTAGTCATAGGCCAGATGAAAGTTTCATTTGTTTGGTGTTTGATTCAGAGTTGAACAAGTGGAGAAAGTTCATTTCATTCCAAGATGACCATTTTATTTATATGAATAAGAACTAAGTTGTTTTTGTCAATAATGTACTACACTGGTTGACTGTTAGCTCTACTTATATACTTATGCTTGATTTAAGTTATGACATTTGGAGGAAGATGTCATTGCCATATGACTTGATTTATGGAATGGGAAATAGGATTTATCTCTTGGACTTTGATGGTTGCCTTTCTATTATTGATGAATATATGGGTGCTAAAAGATTACTGAAAAGATGAATGGTGTATAGTAGATAAGGTGAGTCTGAGGTGTATTAGAGGAATGGTACCAGGCATTTTCCCAATCAGTCAAACAAGTGGTATGTGTTTTTTGACAACTTATAAGCAGATTTTGGTGTATCATTGCAAGAGTCAAGTTTGGAAAGAAATGTACTCTGTGAAGTACAGCGCAACACTCCCATTATGGTTTTCAGCACATGCATATCGTAGCAGCATGTTCTCGAGTACTTTAGTCAGGGTGACTAGTGAATACATCACATAGCTTTTGTACATATATTTCTAGTTGCAAGTTTTAAAATTCATTTTAAGCCATTGTTATTTGCTGAAGATATCATATGCTTATGGTACAATCTATTTATTTTAAAACAATAATATTGGTTTTGCTGTGGAACTCCTGCTGTATCTCTGCACCAATGTCTCTTGTAAAAGGTGTGGCTTCAATAAATAGATTTTGTATATATATTTCTTGTTGCAGCTTTCAAGCATTTGATACTCAATGGACCATTGTTATTTGCTGAACATATTGTATGTTTCTAAAATCATATATTTATTTTAGCACCATCTAATTGATTATCTTGTACTCTCTCTCTTTCTTAAAGCACAAAAAAGTGATATGCTATCAAATAAATACCACGAAGGTGGTAATTTTTAAGTATGGTACTTGTATATATGGTGATATGCTACCAAATAAATTATTCCCTCTTACTATAGCGTAAGGTTAGTAGTTGCTGCATCAGGAAAAGAATTTCTTGGCCTAGAGAAGTGGTTGAGTAGCAACTTAACTACTTACAAGATGTCTTTTTTTAGGTGATATTATCATCTCTCATTGTTTGATTTTTAATTTATAAAGACATTAGCAATACAAATTTATGTTGTCTATACTTATCTTGTACATTTTAAATTGCATTCCTCTGAATTATTGTAGTCAAGTAGTGGCTGACATATTCACTTTGTAGGAGTACCTTCAATTCTTAAAGGATGTATATTTTGGTGGATCACAAAACTTTTAGAGAATGTTAATATTAGAAAACTTGACATTATGTGACCAATTAACCAACCAACAAAACTTAACCAACCAACAAAACTTCACAGATTTTGGTGTTAACTTTTACTTTAATCTCTAAAATAAAATGTGACCAATTAACCAACCAAAAAAACTACTTATCACAAATAATATTTTATTGTTGCACCAAAACAAATAAATGTTAACTAATCTTATCAATATTAAACTTGGTAAAAAGAAAGGGTTTAATAACTGAAAAATAAGATTATTAAAAAATATTCTTTGAATACTAAAATTATGTATTGAATTTGGATTCTTGTATCCATAATTCAAAAACTTTTTGTGATTATTGCCGAAGAACTGAAATAATAAATACAGTAGAACTATGACAATTATTATATGAGGTCTACCCAATGCTAAATGTAAGGGCAGTCCGGTGCTATTCAAAATATTTATGATGAAACATCTCCTACTTTCTTGAAGATTCTACTTAAATCATTTGGTTTTTCTGCCTCTCCTAGCCTCGTTTGATTTTCACTTCTACTATTAGATTTAACCTTTTCTATTACTGGTTCTTAAATCTCATACTAACTTGGTTACTGCAAGGTAATTTTTTAAATTAAACTGAATTTTAAACTGGTTTTGAACCAAAACTAATTTTAAATTGGTTCTGAAATGTTAAACTGGTTTTGAACCGATTCTTAAAAAATTAAACTGGTTCATAAACTTTTAAAATAGTTCAGTTGAAAAAATTGAATTATGTTTCTAGTTTATTTTTGTTCAAATTTAATTTTTGATACGAACCGAATTATGCCCACCCTTAATGGTGGAGTTGTCACCTTAGAACTTCCTGGTTTCGCTCGTGTCTCCAAAACTACCACTTATGAAACCTTCGTAGTTTACAATTATTCCTCTACAATTCATAACCTCTTTGAAACTCACAAGGGAAAGATTGTTACAAATTTCTTTGAACTTGTTGTTGAAAATATTGATTTCATTGTTTATACATTTGAGAGCCCATTACAGCAGTAACACAAGGAAAAGAAGAAGATGTCATAAAAAAAGGTAAAATAGATGTCGAGAAAGACACTTTATTACTCAAAAATGTTAAAAGTTAAGCACAAAAATAAACTATTTTTAGAAATTATAAAATAACATTGTTTTATGTTTAGAATAAACTTGTCATGTATTACGTAATGCGACCAAGCATCACTCCAGTACTTAATTTTAATGTCTCTTAACAATAATAACTAATGTTATTGATGATTCTTAATTAAAAAATTAAAATTTTAAATTAAAAATTTTGAAAATTAACTTTAATTAAGTTGTATATTTTAAAGATTAAAGTAAAGATTTACCCAAATACAAGTATCACAACTTTAGAAACCGTATTGTAACAAATTATTTTACTGTTATCAATGAATCATATAACGCATTAACTCAAGTTAGCTATATCCGTATTTGATATATTATTTTTGTAGTGTGTTTAAATTTTAACGAAGTGTACTTTTTACTTTAGTTCAGTTTCATGTACTTTTAATTTAAATTTGGTAATAATTTTAAGATTATTTAACTTATTTTATAAAATTGTGTTGGTTTTAAAAATTATTATATATTTTTAAAGTAAAACCATTACTTAACCGTATATTAAACCTTTATTTATATTATTTCAAAATAAGCTCAACAAACCACACATGGTAAAGTATATATTCTTACAAATTGGACTCTTATCATGTTAATAAAGGTTAAATTAGATAGGATAAAACACAAAATTATCAAATGTAATTGATAGACCAATCGTGGAAGGATTTTATTTAATAAAATTGTGTCTTCCAACGTGAATGAATCCAAATTCCAATTATACTACCTGAATCGATCGCAAAGTTAAGTAATATTAGGTTCGAACACACTCTGGAGAGCAAGGTGGCACTGGTGGCAAGCCGGTAGTGAAGAAGCTGCTGTTCTAGCAGTGTCCATGGCGAAACTTCTTCAAAACGACATTGTTTTGGTGTTTGGGCTCAGCTAAAGGGAAACAGAGAGGAAGAGAAATGAATGGGCAATTTGCGAATCCCAGTTTCATTGTGAAAGTTAGAGAAAGAATGCACGTTTTCCAGAAATTCTTTCACGGTTTCTGGGGACGTGTTTGGCTGCAGCGTGCCTATGCTTCTTCAACTGCTCTCGCATTCGACCCTTCTTTCTCTATCTGTTCAGGTGAGTTGTATTTCTTTTTTTCCTTTAAAGAAAAATCCCATTCAACCCCTCAAGAAAATCACTACTGCACCCAATTTAGTTTCCGAAGGAGTTACCGATTAGTCTCTCAAAATTTCCATCAAGTTGGATATTTGAGTCTTTCAGCCGTTTTTATTAATCTTTTAAGGGACTAATTGCGATATTCATGATTTTTTTAAGGACTAAATTGTTACATGTTCACTTTTTCATAAGTGAAATAAGTGAAGGACTAAACTGTTTCACGTTTATAATCTTGAGAATATTTGGTGCATGTTTTAGTATTTTCTTACTCCGAATTAGGTGTTTGTTACACACACACACACTCCTCAGCGTATTAAAAAATTATTTGAATCACCTCAGCATTGTCTTAAGTTTTATCTTTTTTTGTTTTGTAATCTATATTCTTGTGTTGCGTGGCAGCTTTCATTGTCTTCTCCATTATACTTGTTGTATGTATATTTTAAAGAATTTTAGGTTATGGTTACATTTCCAACTTACCAAAGAAATTAAATTTCACTTTGCATCACTGTTTATTTTACTGCATGATTGGAACATAGTGCTAAATGTTACCCGTTTTTACCTTTTTCTAGAAAATTTTGATGAAGTTGGTATCATCTTATGTTGAATATTACTGATTTTAAGTCAATTGAACTCTAATTAGGTCTAGTTCTAGTAAGTTTGTGTTTTCAGAAGGTTATTTGCCTTTGCTTAAATTCAGCAGAATTTCAATATGGTTTTATATGGGAGTTTATTCTTTGGGATTTCAGATTATGGCAGTTTTTTTGGTCTAATAATAAAAGATAAGAACCTGACTAAGGTACTAAATATTTCTTATCTAGATATGCTATCCACTTATTTACAGGAACTTCCGCTGAATGCAGAGAACTGATCCAGCAACCAAAACTAGAGCAGCTAGGTCAAATCACCTATTCTGTTCATTATATGCTTGAACTTAACTCTAGACTGAAGCTACTAGTGAAACAGGGACAACTTTTTAAAGCTAGGATTATGTTCAATAAAATGGTTTACAGAGATGAGATTTCATGGACCACATTAATAGCCGGTTATGTCAATGCTTCAGACTCGTATGAAGCATTGATCTTGTTTTCAAATATGTGGGTTCAGCCAGGACTTCTAAAAGACCAATTTATGATTAGTGTTGCACTCAAGGCTTGTGCTCTTGGTGTCCATGTATATTTTGGAGAATTGTTACATGGGTTTTCAATGAAATCTGGCTTGATAGACTCAGTATTTGTCAGCAGTGCCCTAATAGACATGTACATGAAAGTAGGCAAAATAGAACAAGGTTGCAGAGTTTTTGAAAATATGACAAGAAGAAATGTAGTATCATGGACTGCCACTATTGCAGGGCTTGTACATGCTGGTTGCTGTATGGAGGGATTATCATACTTTTCTGAATTGTGGAGATCAAAAGTGGGCTTTGATTCACATACATTTGCCATTGCTTTAAAAGCATGTGCTGATTCAAGTTTGTTAGGTTATGGGAAAGCTATACACACACAATCAATAAAACAAGGGTTCAATGAGGCTTCATTTGTGATTAATACTCTTGTTACCATGTATAATAAATGTGGGAAACCAGATTATGCCATCCAATTGTTTGAAAAAATGAGGATGCCCGATGTAGTTTCATGGACAAACCTTATTACAACTTACATACAGATGGGTGAAGAAGAACATGCAGTGGAAACATTTAAAAGAATGAGAAAATCAGATGTCAGTCCCAATGAATACACTTTTGCAGGCATAATTTCTGCCTGTGCAAATCTTGCTATTGTTGAATGGGGGGAACAAATACATGGTCATGTATTGCGTCTAGGTGTGGTAGATTCATTTTCAGTAGCGAATTCCATCATTACTCTTTATTCAAAATGTGGGCTAATAAAGTCAGCTTCATTAGTGTTTCATGGTATGACTAGAAAAGATATTATTTCTTGGAGCACTATAATTGCTGTTTATTCTCAGGGAGGTTATGCAAAAGAAGCTTTTGACTATCTTTCATTGATGAGAAGAGAAGGGCCAAAACCAAATGAATTTGCTCTTGCTAGTGTGATGAGTGTTTGTGGAACCGTGGCACTTCTTGAGCAAGGGAAGCAAGTGCATGCTCATGTTGTATGCATTGGCGTGGATCATGAAGCTATGGTTCATAGTTCTCTAATTAGCATGTATTCAAAATGTGGAACTCTAAAAGAAGCTTCAAAAATCTTTGATGAGATTAAAATTAATGACATTATATCATGGACAGCCATGATTATTGGGTATGCTGAACATGGTTATAGCCAACAAGCCATTAGTTTGTTTGACAAGATTTCCACTGTTGGTTTAATTCCAGATTATGTGGCATTCATCGGGGTTTTGACAGCTTGTAGCCATGCTGGATTGGTTGATCTTGGTTTCTACTACTTCTTGCTAATGACTAATGAGTACCAGATTAGTCCTTCTAAAGAGCACTACGGTTGCATGATTGATCTTCTATGCAGAGCAGGGCGATTGAATGAAGCTGAGGATATGATACGACATATGCCATTCCATGGTGATGACGTTGTATGGTCTACCTTACTCAGAGCATGTAGAGTTCACGGGGATGTTGACCGGGCTAGATGGACAGCTGAACAGATATTTCGCTCAGATCCGTATTCTGCTGGAACTCACATTACTCTGGCTAACATATATGCTTCCAAGGGGAGATGGAAGGAAGTTGCTCATGTAAGGAAGTTAATGAAGTCAAAGGGAGTAATAAAGGAGCCAGGATGGTCTTGGATTAATGTCAATGATCAATTAAATGCATTTGTTTCTGGGGACCAGTCTCATCCACAAAGTGAACATATTGCAACCATTCTGAAATTATTAGGTGTTAGTATAGGAGATGGTAGGCTTGAAGAAGGTTTTCAAGATGATGTTGAAGATTAGCAAATAGATAAATTCTGCCTCATTCATTATGTCAGTTCTAGAGCAATGTTTTTTTTTTCTCAGTTTCCAAATTATGTAGACATCAAATGATTATTGTGAAGTGGTTTCCCAATTCCTACTCATTTGAAAATGTCTAGCTTCACATGGCTTCTGAAAAGTCCTTTCTGGCAAAACAAAAGGTAATTTTTATTGATATGGTATTTGCTTCCTCTTTTTTTTTTTTTTCCTTTTTTGCTTTTTTCATTTTCGTATGGAATCTTGGTTATTGAATCATGCTAGTTATGATTGTATGCATTGTTCTTGGAGGTTTGATTCTTGGACAATTCCGTGACCCACCGCAACCTCCACTGGAGCCACCTGACTTGGATTCTGCCATAGATGCAGGAATGGATTTTTGAGATGATACAGAGAGAACAAACAGAATGGAGTGAGCACTTTCCCTGTTTTATAGGGTCAGGCCCAACAGAAAGTAGTGAAGAACTATAATGGTCATTATCAGCTACCACTTGCCATATTGCAGTCCTTGAGGGAGCTGTTAGATCGCAGCTAGTTAGAGGCATTGATTCAGCCATAAATATTGCTGAAAAACAGCTTTATTTTGGGGGTAGTAACATTCACCTTGAGGACATGGTGAAACTTATGGGAGTATTGATAGATAATCCATGAGTTAGATAGTTAGATAGATAGTTAAGTTTGTTTATTGAAGAAATAAGGCATGTCGCCTATAAATAATAGAAGAGGTTAAGAGAGAGATATCTTGTCAATTGTGAGAGTTAGGGCCTTAAATTTGGGAGGAGCAGTCCTTCAAAGAACTGCAGTGTTCTAGCTTTGTAACTGGGGCTTATCCTTATTTCCTTCTAATAATATATCAGGTTTCTATCAGTCTCTAAATTTCATGTTTATAGGCACCATTATCACATTTTTCTGTTGAGAATTGAGGGACAAATGATAGAGAAACCTCAAAAACGCTATGCTGATCTTTAACTTTTTTGGTTGAATTATTATAACATTTTTTTAGGGGTTTGGTTATGTAGAAATTCTAAACTTTTTGTCATTGACATTGTTGATACAGATCAAAAAGCCAAAAGGCCAAGACAAGGTCCACACCCGATAACGCTGTGCACCAAATCCAACGATGCAAAATTGCTGAAAATGGTTGAAATCGGGTAGAAAATGAGTTGAAACAATCCGAATTATTGATAAACAGGTAGAGATGATGAACTCTTGCCCAGTCGTAGCTCTTGAAATTGTAAGGGAGACGATTCAATTTTGATCAGAATATCCACAATATGGTAAAACTAGTATTTCAAAGGAAGTTTTCTTTTCTTTTCTTTTTTCACACATTCAAACTCGAGACCCAATTTAAGGGAACCCATCAAGAGTTGTACAATCCAGACCATCCACTCATTAGTAATTTTTTGCTTGATGAAAATATGCTTAATTTTTTGTTTCCAAGAAATTCTATACGAAAATATTGTATTTTCAGAATTTTGGCATGGACTTTTTGTGGGATGTCCGACGAAGTCAAGTTCCAAATTTTGTAAGCTCTACATACAAAGGACAAATGATATATATATTCATCAGGTTGTGAAACGTTTTTATCAATGGCATGTTTAAAAATTGCATAAATGAAAAAAAGAAATTTTTTGTTTGTTCTGCTCCTTTTTATATTCATACCTTTCTTTGAATTATTACTTGAGAGTGACCATATTCCATAATATTGCGGCATGAAGCTGAACTCTACAATCAATTTGTTAACTAATACCATTGTAATATTTTGGGATTTTCGTCATAATGAAGTAATTTTGATTACTAAATGTGGGGTTGAAATGCTTGTTTTTAGTTATTTTTTTAGATCTTTATAGTTGTTTAGGACACCTTATATTATTTCAAGCTTACTTTCACAGGATTAAATATGTTAACATCTTACTGTGCTTCCATTAAGGAAAACGTGAATCAAGCACTTACCCGATCAATTTATCTTTATTGGTAAAACCATGAAGGCTTTGTTGTATGATGAAATATTTTACAATTGGAAATTTAGTATCTCAGTACTAGGGCTTTAGTATTTCATACCTAGTGAAAGTTTTCATATCCATTGTTCAGGCAAATATTACAATGGCATAATAACTAAATTGATGGCATGTACAATATTACATTGTCACGTGTTTTGGTCACAAAAGATAATTTTTTGCCGTTTGTTGTGGGGATATTTTCCAGCCAACAACTGAATACTATCAATTGTGCAGACACACACACATATACCTTTCTTTGTATTCTGCTTCAATTCTACCCAAAGCGGCCAATCTGCTCTTCCTGAAGAGTTTCAATCTTTGCTTCACCATCTGAGATATGACAATGTTATCACTAAAAGCTGGAACAGATCCATGAAGTGCTGCTACATTCCCCAAAACTAAAGGACCATTTTCCACTCCTCTCTCACCATGCAGTGATGAAAATAAGAACGTAATAACGCATCCTCTTCAGCACTCCAGCGTTGTCTCTCCTTCATTTCCAAGTGCAAATCCCACATCCCATGTCTTGAAACTTGAACTCATCATGTCCCCAGAAAAGTTATGGCAACTCAGGACATCAATTCACAAGAACAACGTGAGTAACAGAAACATGCGTGCAAAATATTCATAAAAAGAACACAAAAACTAAAGGATAAATAACTTCAATGCAATAAAATGCACACGACCTAAGAACCTATAATGTCACCATAATTGCTAGTCTTAATAAAATGTTAAAATATTTTACAATAGACAAATTTCCAGATTTTCAGAAAAAAAATAAATAAATTCGGTATGTCATATTATTGGAATGAAATGGTCCAAAATAGACTAATGTATGTAGTTAAGTATCACAATTTTTTCGCTCAGAAATTTCATATAATAGTTTCAATCAGACAAGAAGAAGACTCGATTGAGTTAGCTACACGGATCGAATTTAACACAACATAGCTCTGACATGGTAAAGAAAAAAAAACATATTATTACAGCTAACCAAAATCACTGAAAAGAATCAGGTAAAGGGAAACATATAATAATATGTACTGTGCTGCACTTTCCTATCTCCCAAGGTTAGTTCTAATCACCGAAATTAAGCGCTTTTGATTTAATTTATTTAAGATAATTACCTTTTTCCAGAATCAAAAAATAAAAAATTAAAACAAAAACAATACTAGTGCCGCGTTCATTCATCAACAACTCCTTTGATATGTTTTTACAGTAATAGGGGGAAGGGATAGGCATGGCATGATGATGATGATGATGATGATGGAATATGGATGATAGTATCTTAGTGAGAGAGAGAGAGAGAATGCGCTTGTGGAGAGTAGACAGAGCACTGAAATGGAGCAGAAAGAAGACAGAGAGAAAAATGGAGACAGGTGTGTAGTGTACGTCGGTTTCAGCGCTTAATATGCGAGAAAGATAGCACGCGAATCAGGAAGGGAAGGGAGGGTGAGGCAGCATCTATGCCTATTTCCATTTTTATTTCACTGATCTTTCCTTTAAGTTTTGTCGTTAATTTTAAATATTATTCTAATCATTCTAGTTTTTTAATAAAAAATATTAAAATGTCATAATAAAATAATAATTTATTATATTAAATGATGTTACGGTAAAATTAATTTTCTCACTTAAAAATATTCAAAAAAGAATAAAAAAGAATAACACTTAAGTATAAATATATAGAAAGAGAGAAAAATTAGAATTTCTCTTATAATGTTTCTCGTGTTATTTTTTTATTATTATTAAGATAAGGTGTTATTGTTTTCAGAGAAATTGTACTTTTTTTTTATGTTGAAAAAGTTTAATTCCAATCTTTTTGTCTCTATTTTAAGTGTAAATGTTTATTATATATATTCTGTGCCTAATAAACGATTTGTTAGCATCTATTTTAGATATATAAAATGATGGTACTTAGAATCTTTTAAAAATATTTTTTTTTTTTGTGTTTTTATATTTTTGAGTTTTAACGCTTTTATGTGTCTTTTTTCTTTGACTTCACTGCAGTATCACTTTTGCACTATCCATCGTTGGCTGCATAACAATCAGAATGACAGACGATACTCTTTTTTCTAGGAGCTTTCTTTGCCTATGACACCTCTTTCAATTTTTCGGTGGCCATAGCCATCAACTTCAACGAGAAGTTGTTTGGCAATGAGATAACAGGTGTTTGTTCAAATGTAACGAAAACTAAAAATTTGATGAAAGAGAAAGACAGTGATGGCAATTTAGAGATTTTTGTTTTTGTTTTTTTTTTGGGTTCTTTTTCTTTTTATGCATGATGCTCACTACTTTTACCTGCCCATTCATCACATTTTGGAGATCCTAAATTTCATTGGCCATAGCTATGCAAGTGAACAAGTAGAAGAAAAGTTAAAATTCGAAAATTTTAAAAATTAAAAACAAAATTAGAGTTCTTTTCTTTTGAAAAATCCTATAATAATGTAATTTTATACTTAGAGTAGATTAAACATATCATTTAATGTAACAAATTATTATTTTGTTTTTATATTTTAATATTTTTTATGATAAGGATTGAATTGATTTATAATTCTTAATCTCAAGAACTAATAATTTAAAAAAATAATTTCAGTAATGCTACATATTTTAAAGATTAAAATGAAATCGACTTATTTTTAACTAGTAACACATTTTATATACATTTATTATTATATTAAAATAATTTTTAAATAATATTTTGTATTTGTTCTCAAAATTTAATTAATTTTATCAATTTAAAAATAAAAATATTTATTGATAATAAATAACTATTGTTTTATTTTTTTATATTCAAAATATTAATTACTTTAAAAGTTATAAAAATTATCTATTAAGTTTTTTAAAATTTATTTTTATTGTTATTTTGTATTTAAAACAAAATAAATGGGTTTTATAAAGTTATAAATCATAATAAGATTTTATAAAACTAGAGACTAAAATAATTAATATTTATGAATTGAACAACTAAAATAATTATTGTTAATAATAGATATCTTATTATATTAAATGAGTAATGAGAGAAATATTTTTTAAATTATCAAAAAATAAATTTAAAATTTATTTATTAAAAATACTTAATATACAAATATACTATAATAAAAAATAATTACTTTTTCATTTTTCCTATGATTGAATAACTATTTCATGAGTTGATTGTGTGTGTTTGGGGGGCAGGGTGTAGGTATGGGAGGAGGGATCTATTGCACCTTCTGCCACAATCCAAAATTTTTGAACAGAGTATTAGGATTGTTATTGTGACACTAAGAGAAATAAGCAGCATCAAATAAGGTCTTACAAGTTAAAGTTATAGATTGAGTAGAAAGCTATTGAAAAATAAATGCATTTCAATTTTTCTAAATATGCCAAATAACCATACCAAATATCATAGGCCAGTTAGAGAAATTACTCATTCAATTAGTAGTTAAGTTAGAACATAACCAGACAGTTAAACCCATGCTAAAAAATTAAGCCCAACAAGCTGAAAGGATAAATTGCTACCAAACAGATTAAGCATAGTGACAGCCTCTTAAAACATGCATAATGAACTCAATGTCCTCACCACACCTAAGACTGCTTTGAAAATCAGTCATACCTTTCCTGACTCTTTCCTCATTAGTGATGAGCTTCCTATGGGCAATTTTTCAAAGAAGGAAGGAAAATTTAAGAAGATCAGCTTAGGACCAAATTAACTTAAACAGATCATAGACCAAGTCAGAATGAGGGGTAGGAGAACAGCTGAGGACTTGGCAGAGATGACATGATATAGATGAATAGTTTCAAGTCTTTAATATGTGGAAATAAGTATGAACTGCTGTATATTTTGGAATATGTTAAATAAGTATGGGAAGGAGGAATCCATTGCACCTTCTGCCATGGTCCAAAGTAATTTTGGACAAAGGATTAGGACTGTTCTTACAACACTCAGAGAAATAAACAACAGCAAATAAGGCTTTACGAGTTAAAGTTATAGGTTAGGCAAAAAGCTATTGGAAAATAAATGCATTTCGATCTTTCTAAATATGCCAAATAACCATACCAAATATCATAGGCCAGTTAGAGAAATTTCTCATACAATTATTAGTTAAGTTAGATCCATGCTAAAAAATTAAGCCCAATGAGCTGAAAGGATAAATTGTTGTCAAACAGAGTAAGCATAGTGATAGTCTCTTAAAACATGCATAATAGACTCAATGTCCTCACCACACCTAAGACTGCTTTGAAAATCAGCCATACCTTTCTTGACTCTTTCCTCATTAGTGATGAGCTTTCCATGGCCAATTTTTCATAGAAGGAAGGAAAATTTAGGAGAATCAACCCAAGACCAAATTAACTTAAACAAATCATAGACTAAGTCAGAATAAGGGGTAGGGGGAACAATTGAGGACTTGACAGAAATTAAAAGATGACATAATATAGATGAATAGTTTTAGATCCTTAATATATGAAAATAAGTATGAACTGCTGTATATTTTTAGATGTTAAATAGAAAATTTGTAAATGTAATACTTTATAATGTAAATAAAACTTTAAGTATGTAAATATAGATTTATAGTATATTTTATGCAATTATTTCTAATTTTTATAATTCTATATGTGGCTTTATCAATGTAAAGGTTTTATTTTATTAAATTTTAATTAGTTGTAGGATGAAAGTTTAGATAATTATTATAACTCTTTATAATTTTGATATATTTAAAATAAAGAAATAATAGGTGTTTCAAGTTTACATTTTAACTTTTTAATATCTATCTATATATAAACTTAAATTATACTTAATTTATAATTTTTAAAATTTATAAAAATCTATGTTGATCTATATTTATCTATGTTATATATCCATTTTTAATAATTTTTAACAATTTATTTCAACTATTTTTATCTCATTTTCAATATTTGCTATTAATCTTTTGAATCTATAACTTTGATCTTTTAATAATTTATAGCAATAATTAATCTAATTTATTTCTTTTATGACAGTACCAATCTAAATTTTATACTTTTAATAAATGAATAAAAATATTTTTGAATTGGAATATATTATTAATTCCATCATTAATATATTTATTTTGCCTTTACTTCGTTATACTACTCATTAATCAATAAATTAGTTATAATTCGAGATTGATTTTAATTACTGCTAATCATGATTAAATATAAAAGACACTTCTAATTACTATTAATTTGAACTAAAAATATTATAAATAAAAATATTTATATTATTAATGATAAATATTTTATTATATTAAAAATAACAAACTAAAAAAAATTCTTAATATATAAAATAAAATTTGTAAAACCAAAATTTTAAAATTAAGATACTTCATCTTTTAAGATACTCTATTAAAATTTAAAAATTGAATTTAAATTAATATTTATTAAATTTTTAATAAATGAAATTTTAATTTAACATCAAAAGATATATCTTCAACTTAGTATAATGTTTCAACATTTAATATTTAAATAATTAATAAAATTAAATATTAAAAAAATTATTAGTAGTAGTATTTTGCAATCTTTTTTTGTTTTTGCCATAGTTTTTTCCATTAGGTTTTGCTATTAAGGATTTTAATGAGACATTTAATAGTGTGTTAAAAAATGATGTATTTTTTTTTCACTAGGTTTTATCTCAAAGGGCTTTTTCTAGTAGGATTTTAACAAACCACATTCTCAAATAATGAATATCTAAAGAGAAAGTGTTATAATTTTTTATGAGTTGATGTCCATTTTCTATTTTTTTCATATTCATAAAAGCTTAAAAAATTATAAATATTTGTTTAATTCCCTTTTAAACAAAATCTTGAGTTGTAAATTTAAGCATATAAATAAGACCTTTTATTTATATTAAAAATACATAAAACAAAATTGAGATTTTCTAGTCATCTCTAATTCTTCTTGTCTCTATTTTTTTTTATGTGTTCATTATAGTCTTATGACGTTAATCTCATAACAAAAATTACATTTTTCATTATATATTGTTACTCCACAAATTTTCTCAACATGTTACATGCTGAATAAAGGGTCTAAGGAAAAACTGTGCCTATTTTAAAAATACTTCAGAAAGATAGGAGTCACTCCTCTCGTAAAAATGTTATCAGTAAGTTTTTATGCATTGTATCAACGTTATTAAATTAAAATAATTTTTAAATAAAAACTAAATTTATGTTTTATAATTATTTTAAATTTAAAGATTGTATTAATTAAAATACACTTTAATTTTTAATAATAAATATTTTATTATATTAAATAAAATAAAATTAAAGAATAAATTACAAAAAAGATAGGATCTTTTTATACTAGTGTAAGTCTAAAAACTCTTACACCCAATCTGAACCTTTCATTTAACTTGAATTTAATGAGTTATAATTTATTACTTTACTTGTCATTATATTTAAATTAAATGGTTACTTTAAATTAGGTGTAAAATTTTTAGACTTATACTGGTGTAAGAAGATCTTTCTTTGTTATAAAATATTAAATTAAAACTAATAAATATTTAATATATAAAAAATCACATAATATAATGAAAAATAAATAAATTTAAAGCACTTTTATTTTAAGAAAAATGTTAGCAATAGATATAACACACTCTTAATTATTAACTAAATTTTTAAAAAATTATAAAAGTTACTTTTAAATTAATGTTTTCTTTTTTTACACTTTTATATATTTAATAATTTTTAGTCAATAATTAAGATTTAACAGCATATTAAAAAAATACGTTAAAAATGTATTATTAACCTTCCTCTTTATTTAATATTATTTTTAAAATTATTCTTACTTAAAAATCAAAACTTATAAATTATATAAATACAGATATATAAATGAAGCCTAGACCTACTAAGGTACTCCTATCCTATAGTCTCTTGTTGGGAAGTTGCCACGCATTGCACGTTGTTGGTACAATTATAAAAGCTTTAAATTCTTTAAATAGTAATACAACCTCCAATAAATTGTGAGCACTTACCTTTTGCTTAACTATGTGAAAATAATGCAAAAGAAAATAAAGAGTAAAGAAATAGAATATAAATATTGGAGATTATTTATTTATTATAATAAATATTTATTTTATTCTTAGTTATGAAAATATTTTTTTTAAAGATTTATACAGGAAAATATTGAAAATATTTTTTCCACTCGTGAGGTATTTACTCATTTGTAATTTTTTTCTTCATTTTACTTTTTTTTTTCTTTTAAAAAATAAATTTGAGAAAAATAATTGTACTGAAGGAACGGAAGTTCATATCACAAGTTTACTAAAAAAAACTTCTCTCCATAGAAAGAAAGCAAGGAGGCAAGAAAAATACATTTTGTTAAGTTATATTATTTTTAACCCAATAATAAATAATAAACTCATAAATTATGTATTTAATAAGTATTAGAGAAGTCCTTATAAAAATAAATAAATAAACTTTTTTCATAAATTATAAACATTTATATCGTTAAATTTTATAAAAGTTAACTGATAGAATTTCTAAAAAAAAAATGAGAAATATAAGATAATTTTAACTTTTGATAAATTTTAATATTTTTTATTTTATTTTATTTTTATAAAGACTTCTCTAAGAATTTACCTAAACTAAACTTATGTTTAGTTTTAAAAAATTATCTTTCTAACTTTTGGAAGGAAACTTTTACTCACTCTTTTAGATTTAAAATGTATTTTTTAATATGTAGATATCCATATAAGATAAGAAAAAAAAGTAAATAAAATAAAATAAAATTTATATACAACACTACATATAATACTAATTTTTAATTATTCAAATAACAATATCATTAGTTTCACAATAAAATATTACTTAAATTTTTGCTTAAGTTAAAAAAGTAAGGCGTCTAACACTAATTATATTTGATACATTCTTAGATTCAATTTGAATAAACTTTTAGAGAATATTTAATGAGAAGAAAATAATATAAAAATAAATATATTTTTTTTGTAATTTAAAAATAATTTATCACCACAAATTTTAAAGAAATTAAATTAAAGATTCTATAAAAAATAAAAATAAAAGTATAAATTATCTTTAACTTATTAAAAATAATTATTTATTTTTATACTGATTCTTCCAGAAACTTTTTCTCTGGGGTTTTAGACGAATTCAAATTTAGTTTAAAAGGTGGTTTTGATTCCTTGCAACATTTTGTTATTTTTAAATTGAAAGAATCTTTGTTTGCATGTGAATTGTCAAGCAATATTCTTACAATTTAATATTATATCATCAAATTACATTTTATTTTAAATTCAAATCGTTTCAAATATTTTACTTGCAAAAGTGATTTAAAATTATTTTTTATCATAAATTGAAATCAAATAAAATTGATTTAGTCTCAAGTTTATAAATTCTGATCCAAACACTCGTCAATGGTTCGATACAATTATCCCACAAAATTGGCTGAGCAAAAACAAAGGTGAATAGGAAGTCAAACCAATCCAAAGTTAATAGAACATGTGAAATTGACGACGAAACATTTTTCTAAAAGCAAAAAAAAATCAAATTTTTTATTCGAGAAATTTCACTTGAACTAAAAGTAATATCAGTCCTGTCCTGCTACGTGGTACGAAACAATATCGTACCAAAAGAACACGAGAAAACGTGGTAGTAACTAGTAAGTATTCTAATATTCTATCGCATGAAAATATTTAATTTCAGCGGAAATAACACAACATCCTTCCATTGAGTTGCAACATAGTTCAGAATTCAGCTGAGTTCATATGCATGAGGATGCAACACCGCACTCGTACGATAATACATATTAAAATCCTAGTTAGGAGTAGAAGAACCAAACTACAATATTCAAGTCTAAAGAGCAAACGAAGCAGATGAATTTGTGAATGATGTGTTTTACCTTCCATTAGGCTCAACAATCCGGGGTAGTCTGCATCCTACTTGCTCCATAACCTTCACAAGCCGCATGTGCTTTGCATTCCATTGCTCAGCTAACTTCTGCTCCTTCTTTTCAGCATCTTTTCTCAATCCAGATAACTGTTCTTTATATTCTGCTTCAATTCTATCCAAAGCAGCATTCTGTTCTTCCCAGAGAGCTTTAATCTTTGCTTCAATTTCCTCCACCTTCTCCCTCCTTCGACTCGTTTTCTCTGCCTCCAACTGCAACTCCACCCTTCTTAACCGCCATGCTGCCTCCTTCCTATGTGCTGTCCATGCGCGCTGCCCCTCTTCCAACTCCTTGCAGCACTCTATCAATTCTGACATGACCATGTTATCGCTGAAGGCTGGAACAGATCCACCATGAGGTGCTGTTACATTCCCTGGCCCTCTTTCGGGCTGCAACCACCGAGGAGGCGCTGTTGAGGGGGAGAGACTTAGTGTCACGGAAGGGGAAGGTGGCCTAATGGCTGAGGGATTGTTATTTGTGTTTGAAAGCCAAGGAGGAAGCAATGCTGATGGTGCAGGTGCGTCTGTGTGAAGAAATGGTCCATTAGAAGCAGCCATAAGGTATGATGATTGTGAAAGGTGTTCTTTCACTAGTTTCTCTGCGAAAGTCTCTAGTATATGATCATATTTGGTGTCATCAATTGGGCTAATTGTTTTGTTGATCTCTTGCTTTTCCCTCTGCTGCTTCTCTTTGAATACTTCCCACCACTTGCCTAACCTCTTGGCTGTTCTACCCGGAACTTCTGCAGCGATTTTCTTCCACTTGTTGCCGTGTTTCGCTTGAAGCCGGATAACAAGACGCTGCTCTTCTTCGGTGAGAGACCCTTTCTTGATGCCTGGCTTGAGGTAGTTCTTCCACCTTTCTAAGCATGACTTTGCATCCCTGTTGAGAGGTGTGTTCATGCGCTGAGACACGAGATTCCATTCCCTAGGACCATACTGTCTCACATAAGCACATAGTAACGCGTCCTCTTCAGCTTTCCAACGTTGCCTCTCCTTCATTTCCAGGTGCAAATCCCACAGCCCATTTCTTGAAACTTGAACTCCTCATCATGTATCTGCAAAAAATTCATGACAATTAAAGATACATAAGCGATTCCTGTGAAAATGTCTTCATAATATAGTTCATACCGTGCTCAAGATGGAGCATGATCATCTTCAATGAATACACATCTCAATCCACACATAAGAAACCTAATACAAAACCAGAATTTGCAAGAAAATAGAACATTTAACATTACAAGATCAACCTCAAACTCATTTGGGCATTCAGTTTAGCAAAACTAAAATTGTCGTTCAGCATATCATCAAAATAAGTATCTATGAAGACATACACAAAATCTACTAACCAAAGAAATATTACAGAAAGAAATAGCACCGTGTTATTTTAGTTGCCCCAATTTAGAGGATTTTTATTAACCCTTCTCCACTCCTCTCTTAGCCTTCAAATACTTTCTTTTCCTCTCCCTCCAAATTCCCAAACAAAACAAAGCCTAGATTGCTTTATAGCAATGAAACCCACTAAGACATGGGAAGATTGAATATAAAGTTGAAGGCAGTTTAAATGACACACATTAAAAAAATTAAATATAAAATATTTTTCAGGTCGTTTGATACGGTTTCCCAAATTATTATTATATAAATGCGGTATGCCATAAAGCAATCACATCACTTCAGAAAACACAATTATCTTCGTTATTTTTTTTTTACAAAATAGAACTTAAAGCACTGATTATACGAGACAATAATATACTACTTTAGATTTTCCACTCAAACCCAGGTGGCTAAAATTTCCTTCCATCGAATTACTACAATTCTAGGATATTAACAGCATTTGGAAACTCGTAGAATCTAGATTGAAGCAGAATATCCCCAAGTGGAATTAGACAAGTTCTTGTACCTTCATTATTACGTTCCAGTAACCAACAAATAAGAAGCACTGAACCAGTAGCTAAAAATAAAAACTCCTAATAAATTAGAAAAAGCGATACATTTCATTGCATAGCATCTCACACGTAAGAATCAGTTAAACAAAACTCGAAAACAGAGCAAAAACAGTTCAGTATCCTCCAGAGATAGGAAAAATGGTAACATAGAAGATAACAAAGCAGCTTCAAACCAGAGAATAAAGCAACAACAAAGGAAGATGGTAACATAACACCATAGAAACGAAAGATAGAAACGCAAACAAAACAAATAACCAAAACAAAATAAACATAAAAAGAAAAAGAACATCGTTTAAAAACCCACCATCCTAAAACCTTGAACACACAGAAAAACACATCATTTTTTGTTCTTGTTTTCCCACTTGGCAAAAGCAAAAGGGTCTTGCTTGGTTGTAGAAAGAACGGAAGAAGAAGAAGATGATGTGGTAAAGGGTAACACTTGCTCCCTAACTACCTAGCAGTGAGGTTCATGTCGGAGGCATCTTCTGATAGAGCACAAATTTGGGGCCTTAAAAGGAAGAGAAGTGGGAAAGCGAGAAGCAGCGTTTGCCATTATCTTAGAGAGAGAGAAAGTTGGAATTGGACAACTCAAGGGAAGAGACCCCACAGAGTCACAAGGGAAGAAGTGAAAAGAGAGAAAAAGTAGAAAAAGCATTAATGTCGCAGCGTCGTACGTTGGTTTCAGCGCTTCAAATGCCACACTCTCTCCGTTTACTTGTAAATTATTCGCTGCATTTTCCACTACCTTATCACCTTCTACTCGTCCCCACTTCCTTATCTTTCAATTTTTACTTTTATAACCTCTTTCAAGCTTATATAACAAAGATTTAATAAATACTATTTTTATTCAAAAATATATTATTTTATATTATTAATTTATTTACTTTAAATATTTTATAATTTTTAGTAAATATAATTTTATTATATACTTTTTGACACTCTTCATTCTTCAAATACCACCCTTTGTTTTTACGACGTTCACTTTTATCATGATACTTTTTCTATTATTCAATTTAAATTCTACTGAGTATTTTTTTACTACTTCATTATCATTTTGTTGAAAAACTATTTTAACTAAAGTCAAGTCAACCTCACATATTTAATAATTTTTATTTTAAAATTAATTAATTAATATAACATGCATTGAGAAATTTTGTAAAATTATAATTATTAATATAAATAATTAGATTATTATCCTCAAAACTATAATAATGTTTATTATTAATGAATTTAAGATTATCTTTGCGTAGTAAACCTTATTTGAATTATTTAACATAAATAATATATTTTTTAACATTTTTAAAAGTTCTTTCAATATTATTGTGACAAAATGTATTTCCTAAGTATGCTCTAATCACCACAGTTGTATTTCGATATATATTGACCGTTAAGAATTTTTCAAATCATTTGAGTTGACTAACATAATTTAGTTATTAAAAACATGTTTTATTATTTTTGGTCAAATATAATTTTGCTCTTAAACTTATGTAAAGTCAAAGGATAAAGCTTCCTATTAATTTTTTTATGGTCAATTTTACTGTAAAATTATTTTTGCGATAAAAATTTTACATATAAATTTCCTTTCTTTGAATATATATTTTTTAACCAAAATCAAATGTTGTAAAATAAAATATCTTATTTTTATTAAATGTTTGTAACCATAACTGAAGAAAAAAATATGTAGTTTTAAACAATTTTGTTTAAAGAAATTAAAGACGATGTTGATGATTAAACATTTTGTTAGTGTTAACTAATGATAAGTTACGTGAGGGATTAACATGAAAGAAAAAAACAATGTAAAGGACTAATAAATAAAATTTTAAATCGTGAGGACTAAATTGCAAGATTCCTATAATTTCAACGATTATTTGTATAGGTTAACTCGTTTATATATATATATATAATATTTTTATTTTTATATTTTTAATTATTAATAATATATTATTTATAATATTGAATATCTTTTATTTAAATTAAGTATATTTTTAACAAAATATTATATTGTGCTTAAAAAATATGAAATTATTTATTTATTACTTAAATTAAAAAATAAATTTATATCAATTTAATCATTAAAAATTTATAATGCTAATAATAAAATTAAGTTAAAAATTTAAAATATTAAAAATATATAATTACATAAATGAAAACATGATAAAAATTCGATAAATTAAATATTTTACACTATTAAAATTTATACTTTATTATTTATAATATTAAATATTTTTATTTATGTTAGGAATATATTAATAAAAATATTAAAATTCACTCAAAAAGAAAAATAATAAATTATTTAATTATTATTTAAAAATCAATATAATATTAATTTAACTTTTAGAAAATATTAAATATTTAATAGTAAGAGAAAAACTAAAAGGTTAAGAGTGCATAAAATTAAGAAACATAAAGTTAAAATAAATGAAAAATTAATAAAAATAAATAATAAAATCAATTTAAAGAGTTGTAAAAATAAAAATAATGAAAACTGACATATGATATTTTTGGTGAATTAGTTTAAACATCAAAATATAAAAAATGTCATATGTTAATTTTAGAAGAAAAAAGAAGGGATGAAAAAAATTATTTAATAATAATTCTTATTTAAGAATTTTTAAATATAAAAAATATAAACTCCTTAAAACTTTTGTAAACTCATATTTTAAAGTTATTTTAAATTAAATTAAAAATTTTATTAATTTTTTCTCTCTCTTTTTTTATCTCTTACATCATTTTCTTTTTTCTCCTTTGAAACTTTCAAATAAAATCTTAAGCTTTGTCTAAATTTTTTTTAAAAAAATAAAAATAAAAAAGTTTAAAGAGCTTAAAAAAAAATTAAACTATTTCTTTATTTAAATTTTTAATATTGTTTATTTTTTTACTATTCTAACTCTAAATTATGTTAAATATTTAATCAAATAAATAAAAATATAAATGATAAACTTCCATTACATAAGTTACTAAAAACCCTCAATGATGGAGGAATTTCAAAAAAATAAGGTTTGGAAGATTTTTAAAAATTTTAAAAAACTCTTATATAAGAGTTAATAATCACTAATTCCTCATTTTTTTCTCTTCTTTTCTCAATATAAAATTTAAATATAAAATTAAAATTATTTATTAAACTACAATAATTCATATTATTAATTTAGATATTTAACGACAATAAATAATATAATTTTTAACAAGATATAAGTTTTTACCGTTTATTGAAATGATAAAGTAATAACTTTTTTTACCTCAACTTTATTTTATAATAACTACTACCTAACCATTTTTTATTATATCATATAATAATTATATTTATTTTTCATTTTTATTCATATTTCTTTTTAAGTACAAATGTTTAATAAATATTTTCTGTCAAACACTTAGCTTATAATTTAAAAGATTGCAGCACTAATGTTAGCAATCTAAACACTAGCAAGTGCACTAGTATTGCAGCAAGTAATGAGTAATTTTTAAGAACAGGATATCGTCTCCACAGGGAATTTAGATTTCAAGTATCAAATCACAAAATTGTAATCATTTGAGCCATACGAATTTATGAGAAGAGTTGTAACATACAAAAGCAATAAACCAAAGCAATTAAAAGTAAAGAAGAATATGCAGAAAAACAGATCAATGAATGCAATGTGAGATTAGAAATGGATTGAAAGGTAGTTAGGAATTTACTTCACAAGAATATCAGTATTAATTCAATTATGCCTTTGAACATTCAAGAACTTGGTTAATTGATAATCAGTTTCGCATAACAATAGCTAAAGGTTAATTCCTTAACTCATTGACCCTAACAAGCAAGTAAACCACCCTAATCCCTTAGGTGAAGTTCAATTTCAAGTTGCATTAAGACTTAGAACCTTAAGATTGCAGAATTAGGTCTCCTTATCCCTAAGAAATCCCCAACTTCTGATTGCTAACTCAGATCGGAGAAGCAAATCTAACTTCCATTGGTAATTGTTCCTCTAAGATGAATCAAACAAATTTTCATTCATAGATTGCAAGAAAAACAGAATTCACAATTCAATTAATCCAAGAACTCAAAATCCAGAAACAAGAGTCAAATCAATACATCAATTCGAGTTCCATAAACCCCTAACTACAAGAAAGCTACTCAGACATAGGAGAAGAGAAAGAGAAAGAAGAAGAAGAAGAAAAACTCCAAGAAGTCATGGCCAGAAGCTCCAATCCGATTCCTCTTTGTGGAAGCTTCAAGACTTGACCCCAATTTTCTCTCTCAATCTCTCTCAACGAGATCTAACAGAAAAACGAAAAAATAAAACTGAACTTTGAAAAGTCTGCATGTTTCTGTTATTTATAGAATTTTTCAGATTTGCGCGTTATCACTTTTATGAGAAATAGTAGCCACGCAGAAGGTTTATGGTTGCGCGTTAACACTTTTATGAGAAAAAGTGTCCACGCGCAACTTTCCTGATATTAAAGGCTCTGGAACTATCACTCTTGCTGATAAAAGTGGTTACGTAGAGCTTTTCCTGATATTTGCCTCTCTGGAACGCTCACTTTTATTGATAAAAGTGATAATGCCCAGACTTTCTTCTTCTTTGAACTCTGGAGTGATCACTTTTACTAACAATAGTGATCACACCCAGTCTTCACTTTCTTGGTCTTGTGTTTTTGGAGTCCAGACTTGCTTCTTTCTTCTTTCTTGTCTTCAAGCCTCCATTTCCATGATCCTTGCTCAATTTATTCCTTCAAAAACAAGATTAAAAACTTAATTTCTAAGCAAAATTTTTACAATTGCTAAAATAACTACATATGTAAACAAACTTCAATTCCTTCTTTTTTTTTCTGAGTTTTTCTGCTTTCTTCATATATTTTTCTTATTAATTGTGTTAGAATTATGCTAAAATATCAGTAAAAATATGGATTCATCAACTAACATTTAATAAATCCTCATCGATGAACATTGAAATCTATTATGTTATTTTAGTAAGAAAATTAACCTTAAACTCAAGTATTAATTATAAATTTCATAAAATAAACTTCAAATCTCACATTTTGTTTTATTAAATACCTCACTAATTAATAAAGTATAATTCATATATTACAAATGAGAAATATTAACCTCTTTTACTACAATTGTTAACTCCTTAAATCTATCAAAGGGAAAGCTTGACTAGTTAAGAAATTTCTTAAATTATACTGTTATAAAAGATTAATCAAATCATTAAAAAAAAAAAGATCGTTTAAAGTTATTAGTTTTCAATGTTCTAATAATAACAATCTTTTAATACAGATAGAGTCATTTATTTGATAGTATGATGTAAGATTGAAGCATCAGATAAGTATTAATTTCTAGTAGAGTATGAGTATGCTAATGCATAAGCAAAGTGCTAGCTAGTGCCCATTTTTGGGTGGTACTCCAATGCAATTACATGTGGATTGCATATATAAATTAGCATGATTGTGCCCATATTTGCATGGTTGTGCTTACTAGGGGAGCTAATTTTTTTTAAAAAAATTTTTAAAAGTAGGATCGTGTAATAATTTATATTAATTCACTTAAGAATGATTAGACTAGTTTTTAACCTCAATTAAGATTTTTATGTATTCAAATAGTTTAATAAATGTCTCTTCAACCAAATTCATACTTTTAACTATTATACTTATGCTTCTTGAGACTTCTATATATTCAGAAAGAATTTATAAAAATAAAATAAAATTATGCTTACCTTCCATTTTATCATATGTTGCTATATCTGATTTTGGTTTTCTCTTTGCAGATATTGATCCCATTAATTGGATGGGACAGGGTCCAGACCTTACACACTCTGGACTCTGGAGTTTCTTAGCATATTGGGTCTTCTTCAAAGGAAAAATAATCAAATCACTCTGCTATCTGCTATTAATTTAACATTACAATGGGATTCCAACCAGCATTCATAGATATCCTCCATCATTTTATTGATGCTTGATTATCGGGATACCTTATTATGAACTGCAAAAATGTTTTTGGGTTCTTTTTCTTATCTTTAAATTAATAAGATTGTGGATTATGGGGATGCTTTATTCTTCACTTAACAGCATATGAGTTATGTCTTTATTTGTTACAGAATAAATCTATGTACTAGTGGACCTTACTTTTATTTAATTTGCACATTTTTTCAGCTCATGATCATTTGTTGAGATGTACTATTTAAACAACTAATATATTTAAATCAATGCCCACTGTTCTGCATTCATTTTATTTTATTTTTTAAATTATACTATTCAATGCTTAGACAATAAATGGCATGTTGACCAAGAGAATAAAATAAAAAGACTTGTGGTTATCGACATTAAAAATATACCAAACAGAACGTAATCAATATAATTGTAGTAGAAGTTAGACTCTACAGAATTTTAAAATAAATGTTAAAAAAGTTAAAAAGACATTTAATCAAAGTTTGCTTATGTGATTTAAAAGATCCGTTTAAGAAGCATAGAAGACAACTCTGCTTTACCTTTCATATATCTCAATAGTGACGATATGTAGAGTGAAACAATTACTAAAAAATCTCTTCAGAAGATAAAACCATTAAAATTTACCAAAAATGGGCACATAATAGGAATGTTCCCTTGTATAAACAAAAACATGTTGCAACATTTTTGCTTGCTTGATTGGGTTGGCTGCAATATATCCAAAACAAAATAGACAAGTGGGCTTCAAACTATTTTCCATTGACGTGCAAAAATTGGATAGATTAGGAATTTAATTATTAATTTCTTGGAAAAGTCAAGATTAAAAATGCTATAAAGAAGTGATCCTTTGGAACATTTGTAAAGTCAAAGCTAACAATCTAAGATGAATCTCACAGAGACTGAGTTAGAAACCAAGATGGAGGAAGCACCCTCTTATGCTACATGTGTTTCAGTACCAAATGTTCAAGAAATGGTGAGGAAGAACCCTTTGCAGGTTCCTAAAAGATATGTGAGGAGTGAAGGGGAAGTGGAGAGAGGGAACTATATGTCTCACCTTTCATCTGAGATCCCAGTCATTGATTTTACATTGCTTTCAAGTGGAAACAAGGAGGAGTTCTTGAAACTGGACATGGCAGTGAAGAAGTGGGGTTTCTTTCAGGTATTTTTTTTTACCAACATCATTGTGAATTACGTGCAAAATTACACTAAAATTTTACTGAGTACTCCATTTGCCTATTATACATTAATTGTTTTGTTATTCAAATTTAATTTCTTATCTTTATATTCATCTATACATATTTTTTTGAATAATAAATAAATTATTATATTTGAATGTAATATTTTTATTTAAATTTAATTATAAATATTTTTAATAAATTCTTTAAATATTAAAGATTGGTAATGGGTTTGCTTTTATTCCCTACATTTTAGGGATTCTTTAATTATAAATCTTCCAAACGATTTTTTTTTGGTCTGTATATATTTTAGCAAATTATTATTTTTAGTCTTTTTTTAACTAATGAGTTTCAACAAAAATGAACATTTTGCAACATTTTAATGAAACAAATCAATAATAGAAACTAAAAATAAAAATTCAAGAAAAAGTAGGATCAAAAGAAAAAATAATTATTTGATAGAACTAAAAGAAATTGTTAAAATTTAAAGATTTAAAACATATTTAATCCTTAATAATATTATAATAATGATCACGAATTAATCAATATAAAATATAAGCTTCGTATATCAATCGTTTAAATAAGTTTTTATCTCTATAAATTTTTTTATATTTATAATTGTTCTCTATAAAATATTTGTTATGATTTAATACTTAATAAATTGAGTGAGTAAAATATTAGTTTCTATCATTAACTTTTTCAAATAATGTATAAACCTTTATTTTCTTTAGCCAATAGTGTTTGAAAATAATAATTTTTAAACAGAAACTTAAATAAATTTTTAGTCTTTACCAAAGTTATTTAGAATTAGTTCTTAAAAGTTTTTATTATAATTTAATTAATTCTTAACAAATTAAATGACTATAAAATTAGTCTTCAAGGTTAACCTCGCATGCATCTTAAGTGTTGAACCTAATTTTAAAATATTGTTATGAGTCAAGGGTTCACTATAATATTATCAAAATCAACAAACAGTTGTTCTACTAGTGTACTATTATTTTCATAATCAACTTGTCATTGTTACTTTGTCTCTTATTTACTCTCATATGATTCATCATTTTCATATAGCTCACTTATAAATAATCATAACAATAACTTCCGTAACAATTGATAGTTTTTAGTCATATTTATACATGTTGATTATAATTTAAACTTTGTATCACTTGAAACAACTATGTATCGCGATTAAAATAAAGATATACATGTATTATGTTTAATTTTCTATAAAGATATGTACCGGATAAGACAGTACTCGGTTTTACCTATAGAAAAGGAGAACCGAGTACCCCCTCGGTCAGGATAAGCTGAATACCCTTAGTCAGGATTAAAGGTAATTAACCCAATTAAAGGTAATAACTAAATTATTAATCCTCTTTAATTAAAGGGTCAAAACCAGTCTGACTCAGCATGCCCATTCCATAATATTACCTATAAAAGGAAGGTATGAAGTATAGGTAAATAGTTGATTTTTTTAATATTAAATAGCATTTATTACTCATAACCGAATCCTGACTTCAGCATCGGAGTGCCTTTTGCAGGTATCCTCCCCACATCAAGCCATGTCAACAACAGTCAGAAGAACGTCACCGTTTCAGAGCAGAGACTCGAAGACTAGTGTCTCCTTAGCATGAACATTTTCAAAGACTAGTGTCTCCCTAGCAGGAACATTTTGGCACCCACCGTGGGACCTGATTTGCCTCATTTTTTTTTATAGTAATCATGGTACTTACAAGAAGCCAGCAAGATGGACAAACTTAGCAAGGAGGAACCTCTCGGCAGCAGGAGGATACTACACCTAATCAGTCGATTTTTGAAGTTCTAATGGAGGGAGGTGGTGATGAAAGCCTCTTTGCAGTGTTGATGCAACTCAAAGCAGAGATGATAGAAATCAAGAAGGAGAGAGAGAAAGACGCTCTTGAGCTTTCGACTTTGAGAAGGGAAAATGCCAACTTAAGGGAAGAGATAAGAACCCACATACCTTCTCAAACTACACCCCTCGCCCAAGAACAGGGGGAGTCCTCAGCGTTACAAGAGAAGCCAAGGGTGGTTCAGCAACCTGGAACCCAAACCGACCAAGATGATGTAGTGAGTCGAAGCCTGTTTGTTCACCATATCTTAGATGCCAAGTTACCAGACAACTGGAGAGGCCTAACAATAGAAAAGTATGATAGCACATCCGACCCTGGGGAACATTTGGATGTTTTCACAACCCAGGTCGGTTTGTATACGAAAAATAATTCCTTGTGGTGCAGGATTTTCCTCACTTCACTTAGAGGACCAGCTCAGTTGGTTCACCCGACTCCCCCCTTCATCCATTGACTCTTTTGCAACCCTCACAAAACGGTTCAATCTACAGTTCGCCACAAGCCAACCTCACCCATTAACATCCTTGGCACTCGTTAATATTCGCCAAGAAAAGGGAGATTCACTTCGAGCGTTCATGGAGCGCTTTGGCAAAGTGACCCTATCAATCCATAATTTGGAACCAGCCATGGCCATACACCACCTCACAACGGCCCTTAGACCAGAACCTTTTGTTAATAGCATATATAAAAAGCTGCCCATGGACTTGGATGAATTAAGGAGTCAGGCTACCAAATATATGGAAATGGAGGAGTTAGCTAAATACCAAAATCAAGTCCAAATGGATCAGGGGTCCAATTCAAAAGAAGCAGACAGGAGAGAAACTTTCAAGTCTCGGCAAGAAAACAAAGCTAGAAGAAATGCTGCGAAGAGTCGCCTAGAGGACCCAAGTATCCCTAATATACAACCCTTAACACCAACCGGTCAAGGGTGCTCAATCAAGCCTTAGCAACAGAAATACTTAGCATGCCTAGGCGCGCCAACACCTCTCCTCGGGCAGACAAAAGCAAATCTTACCAATACCATCAAAACAAGAGCCATACCACAGAGGAGTGCATGACCGTAAAGGATAAAATTGAAGAACTAATTTATGAGGGACATCTGAAAAATTTTGTGCAAGCAAATCCTATCAGTCAGGCCGATAGGGGAAGAGACCGTTATCCTGAATTGTCGAAGAGATACGGTGATAAAAGGCCTGAACGACAATGAAGTCAATCAAGAGAGCCCCCTGTCAAACGATATAATAAATGCGAGAAATATCCCAAGAGGGTTACTAATACCATAGCCAGTGGGTTTGCAGGTTATTAATACTATAGCCGGTGGGTTTGTAGGTGGAGGACCCACTCATTCGGCCAGAAAGAGGCACTTGAGACAAGTCCGCTCTGTCAATAATATATCCTTAGGCAGCAGAATTTGAATTCCCCCATCACGTTCACAGACAAGGACTTTCAAGGAGTGGATCCAGTGCAGGATGATCCCGTAGTGATAAGTGTGGACATCCTCAATTGCACTGTTTGAAAAACACTCATTGACCAAGGGAGTTCGGCTGATATCCTATACTGGAATACATTCAAGCAATTGGGGATACCAGAAGAGGAGCTCAGAGAATATCACGAACCACTGGTCGGTTTTTCTGGGGAGCGAGTAGAGACTCGTGAGTGTATCAACCTAGACACATCATTCGGGTCAGAACACGAAGGAAAACACATCAAGGTTACCTACCTAGTAGTACATGCGAATACCTCTTACAACATACTACTCAATCGGTCATCCCTCAATAAATTGAAAGCTATAGTGTCTACTCCTCACTTGGCCATGAAGTTTCCATCCAAAAGGGGCCGAATCGTTACCGTTCATGCTAACCGGAAGACAGCTAGAGAATGCTACTTTGCAAGCCTGCGTCTCAAGCCATTCCATGAATACAGACAAGATATCAATATTGTATCCCCTCGTTTTGGAGAGGACTTTGAGATTGAACTGGATCCCAGAGTTGATGAGGGATGTTGGGTCGAACCCAATGAAAATAAGTAACCTTTTCAGCTTGGACCAAAGCCTGAACAGGTCACTTATCTGGGGGTCGGTCTGTCTGCACAAGAGAGGCAAGATCTTCAGAAAATATTACAGTGTAATGCTGATTTATTCGCTTGGTCTGCCTCTGACATGCCCAGCATTGACCCGACATTTCTCTGCTATCACCTATCGGTTTATAAGGGGGCCAAACCGGTAGCACAGAAGAAGAGGAAGATTGGAGGTGATAGAGCGAAGGCGGTAAAGGAGGAAACTGGTAAACTGTTACAGGCCAACTTTATTCGAGAGGTCAGATACTCCACTTGGTTGGGCAATGTAGTCATGGTTAAAAAGACGAATGGCAAATGGCGAATGTGCACAGACTTCACTGACCTTAACAAAGCGTGCCCAAATGATGCGTACCCCCTTCTAAACATTGATACCCTAGGGGACGATGCAGCCGACCACAGGATACTCAGTTTCATGGACGCCTACTCTGAGTATAATAAGATCTGAATGTATCCTCCAGATGAGGAGAAGACGACATTTATCACGAACTCGGCAAATTTCTGTTACCGAGTAATGCCCTTCAGTCTGAAAAACGTAGGAGCAACTTATCAAAGGCTGATGAACAAAGTTTTTGAAAAACAAGTGGAGAATTGCATGGAAGTATACGTCGACGACATGTTGGTCAAATCCATTGCAATAGAACAATATCTTGCTCATTTAAAGGAGGTATTCGGTGAAGCTAGGCGACATGGGATGCGGTTTAATCCCGAGAAGTGTACATTCGGAGTAGCCGGTGGCAAATCCCTAGGGTTTATGCTATCGAAAAGGGGTATCCAGGCGAACCTTGGTAAGTGCCAAGCCATCATCGAAATAACCAGTCCTCAGAATGTCAAAGAGGTCTAGAGACTTGCCAGTCAGATTGCTGCCCTTGCCAGATTTTTGCCCATAATGGTGAAAAGGTCTCGGCCCTTCATTGATTTGCTCAAGAAATCACAAAAATTTACTTGGTCGGATGAATGCAAGGAAGCCTTTCTCCAGTATAAAATCATGTTGGCGACTCCCCCTATTTTGACCAAACCAAAACCCGGATAGGATATGATCGTTT